GCTAAATATATATATAAATATATACCTATCATTTATAAAAGTAAATAAATTCCAATTCAAATACCACAAGTGTGATATTATATTATTCCTTATTCCCAAAATCGAAAACTCTTTCCTGAAAATAAAAGTCATTTCGATATTCCTGTTACCTACTTCCTTCGCAGTATCTAATCCTGAGGTTTTACCCTCTTAACCGCATGGAAAAGAATCTCACAAATAACGTGTGAGTGTAGCTGTCGAGGATCTGTTGATTTCGGCCCCGTCCGATATACCAGGACCTCCCAGGACGTCACACTCTCGTGATCGATGGCAATATCGATCGAGTAGTTCGCGCGTATTTCGGTCGGCGACGCGCAGTATCGATTCGATTCCCGTCTCGCGCGATAACGCCCGCGCGCGGGATCGTCGTGATCGCGTGCGCGATAACCGTTATCGCGACGATTCGCGACTCCGTCGCCAATAGCGACGAGGAGATGATTCGGTTTTTGCAAACGGATACGGACGGTGATAACGTGCAAACGATATCCGATAACGCGACGTTGGCTTTGAGACACGCATCGCGCTTTTTCAGGAGTATTACCTGGTGATGGCGTTCTTAACGAAGCTACATTGGAACAGATGCGTAAACCGCGATGCGGCGTCAAAGATATATCGAGTGACTTGGACAAGTCTCCGAGGAAATGGGCGAAGACGCATCTCACTTGGAACTTTCATCTGGCGAGCGAGAGCGTTCTACGAGTCACCGAGGTCGCGTTCGAGATGTGGGCGGCGATTGTTCGTAGACGATACGGTTTACATGGTAGAATTTCCGAGTTAGTATCGGATTGGCCGAGGAAATTGAAGGATATGAATCTTCCTCCTAATGCAAAAATCAACGCTGTAATTAATACTAATGCGGGACGAACGTTCGCGATTTACAACGACGAGATCGTAGCCGAAATCGGTGACTGCTCGATGATAGATAGATCAGACATAACTCGTTGCACGCGATATTTCCGGAGATTCCACCCGCTGTAACGTCCGCCGTTCGATACATCGACGGTAATCTGTATTTTCTTGATAAACAACAGTTCTTCAAGTACAACAAATTTATCAGGAGTGTAACTATGGCCGGTAAATTCGATCCGAAGATTTTTGGTATCGTGTGTCCAAGGAACGGACTGTTAGAACAATTGCACGCTCTTTTGAAAAGACTCGCTCAGATGAGGAACGTATTTTCGAGCGAGGACGATTTAGAAGAGGAGAGGGAAGAGCAAGAGGCACGGAAGTTTTCGTATAGTGTATAGAGCGAAGGATACGAAACGTTTACGAACAGTATCGCGCGATCTCTCCAATTGTAAAGATGTACGATATCGAGCACTCGCAGGATTCCGAGACGCGTCGAGTCGACGAGAACGATGACGCGAAGAGGAGGAAGAGGACGCTCGACAATGACAGGCCGATCGCGTCGAGTCATAACAACGCCGGTTGTACGAATAATCCAGTTAGAGTTCTAGAACGAAAATACCCCTTGACTAAGACGGGATACAAGTTTCTCAATGTATGTGTCACTTTTGAATGTTCCTCTTGCATGAATATTATCCTGGGAGATAGTCATGGCAAGGAGGTCTCGATGTCGCTCGATACATGGATGCAGCTTCTCGAGCAACGACACGTTCTCTCGAAGTATCTGCAGAGTACCAATGGAGAATCGTCCTTTCCAGCCCCGTCGCATATTGGAAATATGATCGTGCGTTTCGGAAAAATCAACAACTTGACGATATTACGTCTGGAAACGTCCGCGGCCCGCTTGGCCATGTCGAAGGAAACAGTGAATAACATGTTCGAGCTCGAGCATTGCGTCAGCCGATTCGTTATCTCGTTGACCAAGATATTAGGAAAAATCGATGCAAAATTGGCGCGTTTCAAGGATATCGCGTTCACCGCTAAGGAGATTACAGAGATTATCTCGAGAGTCATACGCGAGAGCGATGCCTTCGATCGTAACGACATTATCGATTGCGAACTCGTTGCTCTATACTTTGGGAATGTAAGATTGAGATGAAAATAAAGTGAGATATATTGTAAAAAAATGTTTTTGTTATTTTATTTCCCCAAGCATATATAAATGTAGTGGGCGATAAAAGAATCCGATTATAGTATAAGCAATGAATCTGATTATAATATATAAGCAATGAATCTGATTATAATATATAAGCAATAAATCTGATATATAATAGTATAAAACAATCTAACATATGATACAATAATTGAAAACAAAGTCGTTAACGCGATATTACAATTCAGTGATACATTCCTGTCATTTTGACCACCAGTCGTTTGCACATGTTCTCCATAGCGCAATGCTTCGCGAGATGCTCGCAGTGGAATGCTCGAATGTCGTCCAGGGTGCTTAGGCGCCCTATATCCTCGAAATCCGCGTCGATAGTCTCGACAATCACATCGTGGTTCGCGATGATCTCGCAGCCAAGAATCTCCTCTAACCACTTCTTTTTCTCCAAGTCTTTGATGTACACTCGTTTAGGCGCGTCTCGCG